TATATCTCAGGAGTGACCATTTTCATTTAGTGGAGTTGTGCGCACACGCTGAGACAGTCACAAACATTTGTTAGCAAAGGAGGAAACTGCTATCAGAAATGATAGATTTCTTATGTCATTCTTCTTATATTATGAAAGTGCTAGCAAATGTGTTGCAAAGTCTAAAACAAGAGATTTCCTTGCAACAAGAATAACAAATATGGAATCAATACCCCCAAGAATAACAAAACTGAGCAAAATTTCATATTGGTAAAGGAACAAAGGTACACAATGATTTTTGGCGTCATTTTACGGCTAAAGTTGCAAAACAGATGGGCTAGCAAAATTTTGCGACAGCCTTCAATCCTGGACATACATTATTTTAAAACAGCTTACGACTTAATTACCTGAACGTAATTTAACATGTTTATTTTTATTTTTTAAGCCCTTTTTAACCGACTTTTTCTAGAACTCTATTAAGAAACGCAAATGTGATTTCACTCTCCCCCTTTGTAAAACCGAGCGTTTGAAGAAGAGTTTTATTTTTACCCATGTCTATAAGATGTAGATAATTTTCTTATTTTCTCTTTGTTATCATCAGTATTTGTAAATATCCCGTAATTCAGCCTATGGCTGCAATGGTGTTTATAATAAAGTATCTATCTAAGCGTGTATCTTATATTTTAAGTTGTTTGGCATTCATATTGTTTAATTTCTATATATTATATCAATTTTACCTCTTCATTTGTGTAATGCGCATTTGATCACATTTTTATGTGAACTTGGGCAATATAAATGGTAAATGATACGCTCACTCACTTCCAGATCAATAACGGCGTGAACTCCCTGTTCTATTTCAGGATTTTAGCAGACAGAGTAGACTTACCCGTTGTACAATTAAAGTCTCATTCAAAAGTAGTTAATTCACTTGTGGGAGCCTAAAAGTAACAAAAACAAAATTTTTATTCTTCAAAAATGTGCTTTTGGCCTCATGTTCTTCGGTAATTTTTACGAGAATGGTTACTTGTATTGATTTGTCGTACACAACTTACAAACGAAAATCTCTGGAAAACTCCTCTTATATTTACATTTTTAAATGGTGACAATTCTCCTCAGAGAACTAGAGCGCAAAGTTGAGAAAGTTAAGCACATGAAGTTGGAGGTCATGCGGCCGAAGACCAAAAACAATATGAACTTCCAGCCTGAATTAAACCATAACTGATCAGTCCACGTTAATCGTTTATTTTTTTGTGAAATATGAGTACAAGGATTGGGGGAGGGGGAGCAGGGGGCTTAATAGAGGATTTACTGTATTTCCGAATTCTTACATTTCTTGTATCTGTTTTATTTTTTCGCATTTAGCAATGGATCTTTTTATTGGCCTTTTTTGTTTGTTTATTTTTGTGTCGGTTTTAGCTATTTTGTTTTTGTTAAGGCGCGTTAGCGTCTTACAGTGGCAGCTGGAGGCTACCTCTGGCGCGCGGGATCATGCCCTTCAGGGATGGCAACGTGCGGCAGAGGAGCTGGGGTCTACCTCTGGCGCACGTGACCGTGCCCTTCGGGATGGAAACGTGCGCGGTAGAGGAGCTAAACCTGGTGGAATGGCTCCTACAACCCTTTTTTGAGCGATTCCAGTAGGTGGAAGAAGTCGCTGGTCTCAATTCCGTTCCGTGTATCAACAAAAAGGAACTGTATTTTGAAATAAATGAAGAGCCGGATCGTTTAATAGCCTAGTAGTTTACGCGGCACTTTGATTGCCAGATTTTGGCGGCTAACTGTCACTATGTGCAGCTCGATTGGGTGCGCTATTCAGCAGGACCAAATTATCATCTCACGAGGTAGTACAAGTGAATTTCCGTTAAAGAGGCGACATTTTTAATTTGATTTTTTTGTGACTTGACTTTCACGTGGGTACATTTTGCTTTGGAGGATTCTTGAATTTTACATTTCTTAATATTTTTGCCAGTTGTCTCACAGTGAGGGGTCATAAAGCTTTGTTTCACGCGCATGTTGATTTCTGTGAAAATACTGTGCTGTCAGGATTTGACCTCTGATACAGAGTTTTAGTGTTAGTTTTACTTTTTTTTCTTTGTCTTTTTATGGGTAATGGACATTATCTAGAATTTCTGCAACTTGGTTCCCCTTGTGTAATCGTTTGAAGGAATTCTATCTTCATTTAGAATTAATTAGAATTGTGATGAAGGCAAACGAAACTTATTTCGAGTTTGCATGAAATTCAAGTAATCCGAGTTCGAAGTTTACTAAGTGAAAATGACTGAAAAGTGGTGTCAAAATCAAGGGAAATGGGTCTTAGTTCGAATTAGTTGCCCCTCTTTTGAGCATTTTAGGTATTCTTTCTATGGCCAGTCTGTGACTTGCCGAATGATTGAAAGCATTTTGATTGCTTTGTTCGTAGTTTTTGTTCGCTAGTTTTATTGAAAAAAGGACATAATTTAAGCCATCCTTTTCAATACTGTAAAACAAAGTTCGTTTGAAAGTTTGGGAATTTTTTTTTCACTACTTCATTTTTCAGCAACCTGCAAAAAAAAGTGTTCGTATCCCAATCTAAGCCTCAGTTACATCCTTAACGTGTTTTTAAAATGTTGTTAATTTCAGCCTCAATATTTTTATTAAAAAAGGTTCTTATCGAATTATGAGTGTACTTAAATTAATTTTATCTACTTCTTTTTTCTCCTTTTTAGCACAATGGAATTTTTCTTTATTTTGTTTTGTTTTTTGATTTCAATTTTGGTTAATCTTTATCAGTTGTATTCCTTTTGGGTTAGGGAAAGGGAAGTGAGAGGCTTAAAGAGGCAGCTGGATGCAGAAGTTCGCGCCAGGTCTCTTGCGGAGAGGCGGGTGCTCACGCTGGAATGGATGCAGAATTTGGGTCCATTCCAGCAAGTGGAAGAGGAGGAGGATTAGAACCCCCCACCTCCCTCCCCAC